ACTTTTATAATTTCTTAGCTTATAGCTGATATATGCACTTTGGTGTTGTCCGTGTCTGTCAGGCACATATCACTGTATTACTGTTGTGGTTTTGTTTACAACCATTTACCATCTGCATTATTATTTACTTAATATATTTCTTCATTCGAACTATAGTGTCTATAAAATTACCTTTTCTAGTATGGATTCAATCAAATGAATATTAATTTTTAAAAGTAAGTTTTTATTTTGAAATGTGCACTTCAAATCAATTTTGAGAAACACCGGTAGATCTACTTACTTGTCACTAGATTGTCAGATTCATGAAGGCAGTAGTGAATGGTAGGTGATTATTATCTTTATGTCTTCTATGTATTATTCATGTTGACTAACCTAAATTTATAGCCAAGGTATCAAGAATTTTTAAAAAGGCATTTAGCAGTTATATAGAAGGTGAGATAAAGATAATCTCCTTTGATAAGGATGATCATAAAAGGTTTTTTTAAATTGAGAATCTATACTGAGTCTTAATATTATGTTCCAGTATGTGCCCTATTCTTTATCTGCAAGCAGGAGCTGTCCAGTAACTCGAAACAGAATCCATGAGCTCTAGACTAGTAAATCATCAATAACCCAATATTTTTTCCTTGACTAGTTAGCCTTTGCCTGGGTTATTTAGACCTGGGGCTTTTTAGGGAGGAAGAGTGACATTATTTGTGTTACATCTGAAACTGGTTTATATCTGCCTGAAGCCAGCCTAGAGACATTCAAATCCCTTTTGTCTGTGAGTGAATTGGAAATAAAGCTGGGTGATGAACCTGATAGCTACATCATCGCACAGCAAATCTTCTCGTTTTTATGAAACTGCCTTTATTATGTCATTTTTTGCAAGATGAGAAGGAAAAATAGTCATCATTGCTTCTTTCCTCCTGGGTACTATAAACTTTTTTTTTTCGATTAAGTTAAGAAAAATTACAGTAGCAGAAAAGAGGACTTAACTGCCCCCTCCCACCCTATTGCTGACCAAGTATCTTTACTTCCTTGTTGAATTTATTGAACTTCCTTTTCCTGTGGCCATTGCCTTTATGGAATCTTTAGATGATTTTAATATTGCAGTCAAGCTTGAAAAATTGTGTATATATATATATATATATATATATATACCAATGTCCCTTAAGAGTAAACTCACTGATGACACCTTCTGCAGGTATTTTATCCCCTTTGTGATTATTTTTGATAGAATTTGTGTAGAATGGTGTAGCACAGAGAACCAGAGAAAACTAATAGGAATCCCGAATTTGACATTTGCTTGATTTTTACCTTCAGCAGGTTGGTTAAGCTCAGTGAGCCACGGTCATCTCATTTGTAACATGTGATGATGTGAATTATAGCATGAGGATAATGTAAAGATTATATATTGAAGATGTTAGTAGTTAATTAATAATACTATGTAGCAGACAGCTAATGCAGTTCAAAAAATCATGCTTTGGGGGCCACTCAGTCCTTTTTGGAGAGAATTATTAATTTTACAAGTCACTTCTCACTCCTGAGCTTTCTTCCCCTCCATAAAATGGGTACTATTAACCCTTATTGTGGATGAGGAATATACAGCTTCTACCCTGCCAGTGTCAGCGATACAGCAAGTTTCCATCTTGCTTGTATATTCATTAAATCTCCAATAATTGCCTTTTTTTGTATCCAATTTATCCATGATTATGTTCTTCCATTCCAGGCTTTTCATCTGGATTTTATTACCCCTTTTATAGACTGTTTGTGTTAAGGATAACCATAAGATCAAAGTGCACCTTACATCCCTCTATTTTCCCTTTAAGAATCGAATAGTATGTGTAGAAAGCATTTTTAAAGGTCAACCATAGATTATTGTTGCTCTTCTTTATTCCTTTAATTCAATAGATAAGTCCAAGGCAAAGTGAAATGAACCTGCTGGACAATCTATTTTAGCTAGAAAACAATTTTCTATGAGTAAAAGAGTGTAGTTTTCACCTGAACTTGGGAGATGGAAAGTTTTTGATTATTCTCTACCAGCTGGTTAAAGCAGTGTGTTGAGAGCAGGTAGTCCAGGCTTTAAATTGCAGCTCTAACACTTTGCATGTTTATAATTTTTGTCATTTACCTACTCCTCATTTTTTATCTGTAAAATCCCTAATAATTGGTGAAATGCATATGTAAAACAACTAGTAGAAAGATTAAAAATAGATTTTATCTTGGACACCTGCTATGAATGTTTGACTTGAGATTGGGCAGGGCAATGTGTTAAAACTCTTATGAGACAGAGAGAAAAAATTCTACACGTCCAAATGTATAGAATAAGACTAGTGTTAAACATAAATCAAACACCTGTCCCGTCACTTGCTACCCTACTTCATAGCACATAATTTATGATTATTGTTGGCATAGTTTGTTAAGATATGCGAGATGATTAAATGAAGTTTTATAAAATCTAATGAATACTATCCAGGTAGGTTAGTTTGCATCAGTTTTTGTATGTTTACCATGATTACATTATATTATTTATAGCCCTCTAGTATTTTCATATTTCATAAGCTTTACAAACTTAAGTTAGTTATGAGTTCTTACTGAATGACATGGACTATCCACTAATTATTTAGCAAATTAATAATTGCTTTCAAATTAGGTTTTAATAATGATCTATTTTTGAGGAGGAAAAAATAGCTCTAGTACTTTCTGAAGTGATTTTTAGACATTAACAACTTTAATGTAATAAAGATTTGAATTGTGAAAGTACTCTGGATTTAGGATTCTCTAATAATCGTTTTCTGTACTGAAGACCTGCTATTATTCCAAAACTCATTTAATTATTTTATCAACACGAAATGGAAGCTATAGTAAATGGATTAGTTATATGGCTTTCAATATTGGACCTATGAGCTCTTAAGGAGCCAAAGTAGAATTTCAGATTGATTCTAAATGGGACTCATAAGGCAAGATCATCTTCCCTCTAGCTTTGTAATCTATTTTATTGATAAGTATTTAGATGGAATTTATCACTAATCATTTTTAAAATATCAATACTGTAGTATATTGGCATCCTTTCTGGTATGGAAATCATATGTAGTATTAGTATAAAGAAAAGGGGTTTGCTTTTTCTAAGAAAACTTACATGATGTATTTGGCAATATTTGTTCAACATAGCCCCCCATTTAAAAAAAAAATCTGGCAGTGTATCAGCTTTTACAGTGATAACAAATTAAAAACAAGAAAATTATTACAGAATTTTGGAAGATTTAGAAAAATCAGTTCCTAACCTGTCATTCCAAGAACTACAAGCATATTTTTTGTATTCTATTCCAGTCTTTTGTCTTTATTTCCTGTGCTTTTTTATTTTACAAAAAAAACAATTTCATAATCAAATAATAAGAGCACAGAAAGAGTTACTACTCTATGCATTACTATCTTCAAAGTAGCCACTCAGAACACAGAATATAATCAGTCTTTGAAATGTTTTATACTATATGGGAAAATATTTCCCCAGCTATCATTTCTATGATAACGTAGTTTAAGGATTATTCTTAAAACTAGTAATACGTTCATATGCTTGAGAAGATAACATAAATTTTAAAAATATTACCTATTATTTGTCACCAGCATTGTTTTGCTAACCTGCCACGCAAAGGGCATTCAAAAGATCAGGAGACAAACCAGTATCACTCATCAGACGTATTTATGTTGACTTTGCTAAGCTAATAAAAACAATATGATTTTTTTAAAAAAGAGAGCAAGTTCGTTGAAGCCAAAAATATACCACCAGTATGAGTGACACATTTAGAAAAAGCCTCTGACGCCCAAAGAGGAAAGGCTTTCATGTTTATAATTAGTTAAGTTGTAGAAGTCTCTCTGGAAAATAGTGCAAGTTACCAGGCAGGTTCCTAGTCTAAGAAACTGAATACCACCTAAATTTGCAGCACTTAATGAACTTTAATATTAGAGTTAATATTTAAGTTAAATTCATTCTCATCTTAAAATACAGCTTTTCATCTTTGAACACTTTTCTATACTCCATTATGAGAGAGAAATGATAATAAGCAGGCTTTGGGCTTTATTTTTAATTTTATTCTCTAGTTGGGTTCTTAGCAAAATGCTAGATTTAGCAACTAAACTATATAACTCGAATGCAATGATGAATGGCTGAAAGGTCTCAGACTAGCTTTGTACCTTGTCAAAGCTGAGTATGTCTGATAATTGTCATATATTCATCAGATTTTTCCAAATGAAACTAAAACTTTTATTTACTTATTAATACAAAATGCAAATGATTCTAGCAACATTATTTAATCCAAACCCATTTTCAACTTGTTCATTTAACCATACTTCAATTGCTAAAGAAACTAAAGAATGTGAATAAAAATGAATAAATAATTATACAGAAGAATCAACTTATCGGTGAGAAAACAAATGGCGAAAGAGGGGCTGTGCTTAAGAGTCAGATGTCACTAGGTTGAAAGTCAAAGCCATACTGTTTTTCCAAATGTTTAACATTGCCTGTTTTACTTTACTTCTGCAACACAAGGTTTTCCATCTATAAAATGAAAATCATGATGACATTTTTTGGGAGTCAAATGAGGAAATGAATGAAAGAACTCATCACGGTATTTGAAGTCCTGTAGTACATAAACATAAGGATGGAGGGTGCCGTTGCAGATGCTATGGGACAGCAGTAACCTGTTCTTTCTCATAGATTGTATTATAATTTTAAGTTTATTTTAACTAGTACATAATAAACAGTTTATGGATATTTATGGATACCATGTAATGTTTGGATGCACATAAATATTGTGTAATATTTAAATCAGGTTAAACTTACCTATCTCCTCAATCATTGGTTATTTCTTAATGATGAAAATTCTCAAACTTCTTGTAGCTCTTTAAAATCTACAGTCATTTGTAAACTTTTACGGAAGGAAGGAAAAACTCATGTATTACAATCCAAACAACAGAAAACAACTTGTAGCCTCAGTTTGAGCTCATGATTTTCTTTTCAGGTGAAGCATATATGCGAATGAGCAAGCTCCCTGAAGCAGAGCATTGGTATATGGAGTCCCTGAGATCCAAGACGGACCACATCCCTGCTCATCTCACCTATGGGAAGTTGCTAGCTCTCACGGTGAGTACCTACCTTTCTCATTCCCTAAGACACGGATTTTCTCCATGCAGATTGGGATAGCAGGAGTTTGAGGCTACCAGTTGTGAGCCAGTCAACACAGGTAACAACTTGATGGTCATACTGTTAGAACCCTATACATAAAAAAAGTATTTTACTTTGCTTATGGAGTTTGGCCTGGAAAAAATGCATAATGCTTAACTGTGCTCAAAAAGGTGTGGGAGAGTCCATAGGAGCTAGCAATGAAGTAGTAACTAGGGATCAGAACATTGAGGAGTAGGCTGATTCCAAAGCTCATTTGGATCATTTACCAATTGTGGAAACTGGTGAAAAGGGTTTTGTTTGTTTGTTTGTTTTTACTTTTTCTGGATTATGAGGCAAAACTTTGAGCCAATGGAAGGCCAAAATTTGAAGCTTAAATAAAGCCTAGGAATTCCTGCCCTTAGTATCTGGATAACATAAGTTTGTATACCTTCACAAGAGGGAAGCATGAACATGTGACCGTGTCAGAATCGCATCTGGATGGAGAACGAGTGTATTCTCTGTTGTGAATTTGTTTGAAAACAGGTTCTTTTGTTTTTCTTTTTTTTTTTAACGTTAGGTTTTGAATTTGCCTGCCTGATCAGGGAATTTTATGCCAAGAAATTAAGTAAAAATCAGTCCACCAAAAACCCTTATGAATACGTTCTTTAAAAGAACACAGGTCTAGCCTGGCTTGGTGACATATGCTTATAATCCCAATGCTCTGGGAGGCTGAGGAAAGAGGGTCTCAAGTTCAGTATCATCCTGGACAACTCAATGACTTAGAGAGACCAGTAAAATATCCTAAAGAGGGTTGGATGTAGCTCATTGAAAAGCCCTTGGTTTCAATTCTTAGTACCGAAAGAATAAAATAACGCATTTAAGGATGATTATGGTACAAAGAGAATGTTGGACAAAGAAATTGATCATGTAGGTGAATCAGAATATGCTTTTACAGAATAAAATATCGAGGAAGAATAACTATACAGAAACACTCAGAATAGTAGCATGTCCTCAGTGGATAAGGTATGTAAGGGGATTTTGAAAAGCAGAAAGCAATGGAAGTGTTACAACTGATTTGTCAGAGCACAGGAAACTACAATCTAAAGGTGCTTTGTTTGGAATGAGCTAACAGCAAAAAATCCAACTTACCCCAAAGCCTGAAGAAGCTCATGACTTCAGGAAGCTGACTAGAAGGGAGTGATTTAAAGGGCATAAAGTGGGGTGATCAATTTCAGCCTATGAACACTTCAGTCAGATCTTTCCTCATTGTCTTCAAACGCCAGGAACCAGACTCCCACTCCACAGACTCCAACTCACAGTGCTAAAACAAGTGAATAAGAGAGGTCCTGAACTCAGGAAAGGCTTCCACAGTTTGCATGGAATGAAGAGGGGAGTGGTACTATGCTTAAGACATGGTTCCAGCATGGCTCGCAAAGGTTCATTGCTGCAAGCTTGGTCCTTTAGAGGTGACGATGAGAGGTACTATAACCTTCAAGGAGCTAGGCCTCTTTCATGCTAATTAGGTCTTGGGGATGTCATCCTCAGAAGGTACTGAGGTCATGGGGATAGCACCATCTGGCAGTGTTAGTGCTAGTCTTGCAGAGTGAGTTTTTGAGAGAGCAAGTCATTATCAAAAGAGCAGCCTGACCTCTAAGTCGCTTGGCTTCCTATCCTGCAATGTGATCTCCCTTTCTTCTCATGCTGTCACCATGGTGCCTTCTGTCATAGTGTAGCTAGAACACACTCACCACAGCCAAGAGGATGCTGCTGCCATGTTTTTGAATCTCTAGAACTGCGAGCTAAATAAGCTTCATTACAAATAAGTAACCCAACTTCTGGTATTTTGTTATAGCAACAGAAAATAGATTAAGACGGGGAGTGAAAAGAGAATTGATTTAAAATCCTCTCATGGAGTATTCATATCCTTGATATTCCTCCATCACTTTATGTAGAATAAGAGCAACACAGGAGTTATATCCTTCCCCATTGTATACCTTTATCCCTTATACCTTATCACCAAAGAAATTACGGAGTTCTTATCTAAAGAAACTAAATTATTCTAGAGAAGAGATTTCCATATACTTAAATTTAAAGATCCCCTGTAAATCAATGGCTCCATGAAGAAAGCCTTTCTATGCCTTAGGAACTTCATTCAGATTTTAATGCTTAAATATCAGTAGGCAGTGTAGGATTATCAGTCATATTAGGCAAACGTCAACTGTAGGATGGGGATAGGAAGTAAATTATTAGGAGAAGTAAATATGAAGAAACCTTCAAAAGAATAGCAGTCCTTACAGATGGTACCATATAACATTTCATGAAGCAGGATGCCATGAAAAAAAAAATAATACTGAGGAAAAAAACAAGATAGATTTTTAGAAATAAAAATATGATAATAAAAACAGTTTTCACTGAAGGACAAGAGGATAAAAATGAAAAAAAATCTCATTCACTAACACAAAAATAGGGAAATAAAAAGCATGAAAGAAGAAATTGTAAAAGAAATCAATATGGAATCCAACAAAAGACAGAAAGAGGGAAAGGAGAACATTACTCAAAATCAAAAGGTACAAGCTGCTATTTGTGCCATTTACCTGATGATTTAATTCCTTAGAAAAATTATTTTATCTTTGAAAACCAACTTGTATCGTGATAGGATGATAATTCACATATAAATAGAATTCATATATCTCTTGCTCCAACACTGAGATTTTCTCAGGGAGTTCAAATGGAAATGTTTTGAGTTAGATTGCTAAATGACCACCTTCAGAAATAATTATAAAAGTTTCAGATGCCTAATTCACTCCCCCTGAAAGCTGGAAAAGAAAATTGAGCCATAAATGTACATAATTCTGAATATGCATAGATCATGACACTGGATATAGAAACCACGTGTCATTTTTTTCTTTTTGATTTTCAAGGCTGAATATTTTAAACTTTCTATACCAAAAATATAATTTGAAAGCCTGCTTTATTCTTTTCAGAATGCTTTTTTTAAAAAAGAAAAAAAAACCAAGATTTATAACTTTTACTTTACAGAAATTTCCTTAATGGAAGGAAGGAAAACCTCATATATTACAATCCAAATTTTTAATTTTCCCCCACAGAGACTTTTATAGTTTCCGACTTGCTGATTAGATGAAATACAAACTCCATTATGGAATGGCTTAAACTCACAGTGCCAAAACCCCATAACCATCTATAACAGTTTCTTTCTAAATTATAAGATTTGGCAAATTTCTGATCCCAGTGTATTGGCTTTGTGTAATTGTGGGTTTCTTAGCCTGGTAATATGCCAGTGACTTAGCATAGAATTAACAAGGTGGAAAGTGTCACAGATTTTGACTTCTGAATGTTTAAAATATATTGTAAAATGGAATTGGTTTCTAGTCTTAAGAGAAGAGTTTTATCTTTTTGTCAAAACTGGCCGAAGGCAAATTATGTAAAAATGGCATGCAATGATATTAGATTTAGACAGTATGGAAAGAGTTTAAGAATTCTAGTAAGAAATTGATTATTAAGACTTTTGTTACAGTCAGTGGCATGATTCTCTCAATACCTTTTTCTAAACAAGTTTTTCTTTAAGAATTCATGTAATATTTATAGTATTTAGAAAAGTGTAAAAGGATTTAAGTTTCCCCAGAAGGCTTTGGCACATTCTATACATCATAGCCTTTCTATTCCTCTGCCAAAAATGTCCTTTTCCTCTCTCTACCTGTTGAAATTTTATTTCCTCTGTGAAGTCTTGCCTGGCTCTCTCAAGCATTTTTTCCCCTCTTTCTCTGTACTTCCTTAGCTTTGCTCTCAGTATGTCTATAACAGCACTTCCCAATTGAATGACACACCTAAATCTGCCCATCTTTTGACACTACACATGCCAGTAGGGTGTAGTCTTTTTCACTGTCTTGATAAAAATCCCTGTATATTTTTATGTTTTAAGTTATTTAATGTTTTGGGACAAGATTAATATTCTAATTTCCCTAGACTGATTCTCATCTTTATCCCTCATCTTCTCAACACATGTATTTAGATTTACTCCTCCATACTAAGCATAATTTTAATCCTTAATAATGCTTCATGCTGAATTGTTGAATGAAATGGGGCTTGACTATAAAGTGGACGTAGAGTAATCTTACAAATTACCAGAAGGAGAGGTAAACTCAAGTGCAATGTTCATCTCTCGAGACCCTGTTTTTGATGTGTTAATTCATAGCAGCTGCACACCCCTTGGGAAATATTATCTCCTTTTTTATAAATGAAGAAAGTGAGCTTCAGAGATTTAAGGAACATCCCAAAATTCACTTAGTAATTAAGTAGTAGAATTATTTTTTCTTGAATCATGTCATTAATTTTATTCTGCATTAAATAATTTTAAGTGTGGGATTTTTTTTTCTAGTTGGCATGCCTGAGTGAACTGATTAGAGATTCTTAAAAGCAACGTGCCATCCTGCTCGCCCCAATTTTTATACCTTATTTTAAAATATTGTCATTAAATACTAGTTTCGTTTGAATAGTTATATGCATTTTTATTATTAGGTGTAATAGTTCATGAATATAGGACTTCAGTTTTAGGCTGTTGACACTTTTAGATCTACGTTATACCTCTAGTACAAATTTTCCATGATACCCTGGAGAATAGTTCTGCATTAAAGTCACTGGTAGCCTCCATGTTTAAATGTAGTTGGGCCCAGGTGTTATCCCCTTTAAAATATATGGAACTTTCGTACCAATGTCATGTCCAATTAAAATACTAAACACAAGCTGAGTTTGAATTGGTCTGCTTAAAATTGTGATTTATTCCTTGTTTGAACTTTGTTACCTAGGGCTAATGCTATGAATTTAAAATTGGGCATGCTTTAAGAGAGAGGAAAGAATAACATTTCAATTATTGTATTTCAGATGATTTTCTAGTTTTTTCTAAAGCTGTGTGGGTTCACTAGTTGTGTACACATGCTTCCTTCTGTGTTTTCTCTTTCTTT